ATTTAGGTTTTTAGTGTTTTTTTTTTTGCTGCATCACAAGGAGAATCAAATTCTTTCACCTGCATTTCACCTCCATTTTTGAACCTTTACAAAAACCATTATCAACTCTTGCAGACGTGGAGAAGGTGGGGTAGTCAATCATTGTGGCGGGTTCCTCCCAAAGCACGTCCTGCCGTTAGGGAAAATTTGACAAAACACGGTTTCCCTCGGAGTTTCTTTTTCCGGCTCTTCCGGTTCCTCCTGCCCTTTTCCATCTCGCCGACAATCGTCTTGGAATTTTCCAACCACCACTTCCTATCACTTTAACGGAGTGTTTTCCAAAAAACTCCATTCCCATCCCCCCCCCGCCTCCCGCAAAGAAACTGCCACCATCGAGCGGAGGGGATGGGGTGAGGGGGTGAATAGTGCATGTGAAACAGGCAATATCGAGAAAAATCAACGATCGAAAACATCTTTTTCATATCAAGTAAGACCCCCTCCCACCACCGGCCGTATATGCCCCCTCGCTGGGGATTCCCAGCGTACGACGTGCACCGGCCCTTTCACATTATTGAAAAGAAAGGGTGCACTAGTGTAGAAGGTTAAGTGATAGCACCGGTAACGCCCACACGGCTAGCGTGGAACCTTCACTTAATTACCCATTCTTTTACAATTCGATCGTTTCGATTAGCAGATCAGCGCTTTTGGCTGAAAAATTCCGTTCATATTTGTATATCTTCAACAGATTCCTGGACTTTTCAGGAGCGAACGGATTGGCGAATCCACGCGATTTTGAAACGCCCGTAGCATGGTTTGAGGACGTTGATTTACCCTTCGAGATTTACAACAAATATCAGGGATCATTCTTCGTTGCAGAACAGGTATGCGCATTTTAAAAGGTTTATACTTCTTAACGAGGCGGAGGTGATGTAGTGGCAAGTGGCGCGCTTACCACGCGCGCGGTCCGAGGCTCGAATCGCGGATCGGCTCCGGTCAGGGCCAGCCAAATTCTGTCCTCGGAGGGCAGTGATACCGCTTTCGTCTAGGAGAATGTGAACTTTGACGTTCACATCGCTTAGCCCCCGCAAGTTCGCCTGATGTAGGTCACGCGTCGCATTCAAGTAAGCCACTACGATTCGGAAACGACTGGAAATAGAATGCGTGGCGCTCCCCAGAAAAAGGAACTGATCAAAGGCGAAAACGATGAAGAACAGCAGTTAGCAGAAGAAGCAAAGCAAACCCTGTTGGAAGGGCGATTCTGAAGCTGAACTTTCAGGATCACTCTCCGTTCGATGTGGTTGGATGGCATGGTAACTACGCTCCGTACAAATACGATCTGCGCAAGTTCAACGTCATTAACACCGTCTCATTCGATCATTGCGTGAGTTTTTTTCTACTTGCGAAATCTCCACCCTTTCGTCTCTTCCTACAGTTGTTGTGAGAAAAAAATTCCGAATTACGACACCCCCTCAACGTTTCCTCCTCTGTTACGAACCCCCCTCCTCACCCCACCTACCTATCTCACAACTTCTTTTCCGTTCCGCTTTCCCGTTTACAGAGTTTTTTCAGAACAAATATTCTCCACTTTTATCCTAAAAAAATCGCCTTGGTGTAGGGTAGGTGGGACAGGGCCGTGGGTCTATAGCGCACCTGGGACGGAAAAAGCTACCAAAAAGTCAAACACCCGAAAACATTTTCCTCAAATGCAGTCTCCCCTCCTTCCCTCCAGCGAGCAAGTATGTAGGACTCCCCTCCCTCCCTGTGAACGCGTACTTACGACGTGCGGTGCCTCCACAAGCGCCCTTTTCCAAAGTTTATTTCTGGAGATTAGTCGGTCCTTTGCTTCTGAAGACGAACGCCAATGTTCTCTCAAAACATTACTGAGGTGTTCTGCTTGAGCCCTCTGTTCTGCTGTGTTTTTGGAAGTTTTTCTCTATTTTCTGACGTGTTACCGAATTAAGGCCCTAAACAATGGATTCTTATTATGAGTACTCCTTAGTAGTGCCCTGACGACTACAGTCTGCTGGGATATGAACTATTTCGTGATAATTAAAACCAAGTGCAACGAACTTACTGCAGGATCCGTCGATTTTCACAGTGCTCACGGCGCCGTCAACAAAACCCGGCACAGCAATCGCGGATTTCGTGATTTTCCCTCCAAGATGGGGCGTCGCTGAGGACACTTTCAGACCTCCTTACTACCACAGTAAGTGTATTTCGCCTCCTTATTCTCCTTGAAGGGTGACCTCTCAACGTCTACTTGAGTTCTGGCGGTTCTAGTCTTATGAGAATTCCAGCCTTTTTTCTTTTCATTTTCTTTTCTTTTCAGTCGGCTCTTTTCAACTCATTTCTTCACACTCGCTGGAATCTTTCATAACCGATCCTTTTTATATTCCCAATATTGCTTCTCGGTACATGGTTTATCCCACCTTGTTTAGGTTATTTCAGCTTATTTACAGTTTTTTTTTCGTTTTCCAATCCCACAATGAAACCTGATGGCGGGAATATGTGAAGAATTCAGGTGTAGCTCAGGATATTTGTATTGCAGCAACGCAGAGAAGCGAAATAGCTCGCACCCATCCGCGCCATTTTCTAGGTTTAATCGACTTGCTGTAGCATTTCAGCGACTGCTACATGAGGTCTTGGTGCGAATGTCGCGTGTAGTGACGCTCGCTATGTCTCCTTTGCCGCCGCGGCGCCACCGCTTACAATTAGATCTCCTTATCCGTGTAACGAAGAGCTCTAATTTCTAACATTATTCGGGAAAGAATTTTTTGAGATTTCTTCATCTGTGAATATTTTGTTGATACGCGGATGTGGTAATCAGGGCGCGTTGTACGCTGGGCGCTGGGTATCCTATCAAGGGGGGAGGGGGGGTATTTGGTTGGTGGAGAGAGGAATGTGATCGTACCAGCTTTTGAGAAAAATGTTCAAATGCGTTCAGTGCTTCCTGTCTCGAATGCGCTATTCCCTTCCTCTGCGCTCCCCCGCTCAGCTACATTGAAAAGTTCAGAAAAAAAAGTAGGAAATCGGGAAAACTGAGGGAAATGATGGGTTGATGGGGGTGAGCGAGGGGGAGGGGCCCCATCTCCTTGTCCTCCCCCATCTACCTACCATTTCCTTGATCTATGTTTCGAAACTTTTCCCTAACACTAGGACGTCCTCTACTGGCAATCTACCTTGCTTATTGGGGCCTAAGACACCCGCAGAGCGTTGGGTAGGTTATATTCGTGATTTTTTTTTCCATATATTAGACAAGCATTACCACTCTCGCCTTGACAGTTGTGAAAAGCTCCCTTGTTCGTGTGGTCTCGAATGCGAGGCTGTCCTGTCCACAGAAGCCCCCCCCTCCCTCCTTTTTTTGCTCGACTTTACCTCGGTTCATAACCTTCATTGCTCTGAATAGAAACCAAGGTTACGGCGCATTCCAAAAGCAAGCGTTTGATGCTGAAAATGTTATTCTTGATGCTCCCCTCGGAAGCGACATGTCCTTACAATTAGGACAAGGTTTCACGGTTTCCCAATAAAAGGAAACATGCCACTTGTCTTATGTCACTTGGAATTGCCTAGGCGTCTCTATGTCGTCACTTTCCAAAATTGATTTTTCAGTGCAATAACGATTCATTACTGTGGTGATTAATGAGGTTATAATTCAGCCTTGAAAACCCTTGTATCGTAAACTGCTGTCTAAGGACTTCAAGTATCATAATCAAACAAATCGTAATTACCCTGTTTTCTGGAGCATAAGGCGCACCTACGCTTCGAACGCCGCAAATGATTTCTCTCTTCTCCCTTTTGCGTTTCTTTGTTTTCATCTGCAGGAGCGATCTTATCGTGGGGGGGGGGGGAATTGGGTATGCAATGAAAACTGCGACTCCCCCGTGCACAACGGCTGTGCTGGTGTTTTCGATGAATGGACCAGGAAAATCAGAAAAAAAAGTCAAAAGCCGCAAAACAAAAATTTTTTCGCGCTTCGGAAATTTTTTTACAGTCTTAGCGACCCCTTTCTATTCGTCATATTATGTTCCACCGTTCTGAAAATTGGCCGATAGTCATGTACCCTTCGAGTAATAGTTTTTACGATTTTCTCTTCAACGCGCTCGAATCGTCAAAAATTCCAAGGAATCCTTTGGAAATCTCAAAACATCACGCAGAAATTGGAATTTTTCTGGATTTTATTTGGATGCTTTGCGGCTGTTATTTGAATAATCACAAGTCCAGGACGCTAAGTCATATAAATTATAGCTAGCATTTGTTCGGACCAAGTCTTTTGGAGTTGTTCGGGTGTAGAAGAAAACTTTGTGCCTTTCGGTCCAGCTTCCCAATATTCTCATCGTTCCTGTTACTCCTTCAAAATGGTGGCTTGCTCGATTACCCCGTGCACAGGAGTATGCTGATGTTTTTATTACAATATGGAATTCAGTTATGTGGATGGAGCACTTAATCAAATGAGAACTTCATTTTACAATATTTGCTTGCTGTTATGTTTTGAACTCCCCCACTAATACAATTTCTCTGGAATAAGTCTTTCTTAGGATGCTCATTCCCATTGTCCTTTTTAAGTTTGTTTCCTGGTATAAGTATAATTCCCCGGGAAAAGGGTTTCCTGGTGTGAAAATTCTTGTTACTGGAAAACCCCCGAGCTCCCATTGAATTTTGACAAAAAAAGCAATCAAT